CATCACCGCCGGTGCCTCTCCCGTCCCCGTCCCCGCCGGCGGGGTCAGTGCAGGACCTGCTCCAGCTCGTACTTCTCGCAGAACTTGCTGGTGAAGGGCAGGCAGGTGAGATACTCAACCCAGCGCCAGTTCACGGGATAGACGTAGAGCCAGACCACCAGCGAGGCGAAAAGCCCCACGAAGACCAGCAAGGAGACGATGATCATGGCTCGCTTGCGGTACTTGTCCACCGTGCCGAAGGTGATGTAGGGCAGGAAGGCGAAAGAGAGGAGGAGGCCACTGAGGAAGCCGAAGAGGTGAGCGATGTTATCGATCCACGGCAAAAGGCCACAGACAAAGAGGAAGAGGACGATGCCAAAGAGGTTGAGGAAAGCTTTCCAAGGTTTCTCCAGCACTTGCCAGCTCTGGAAGAGCTCCACGAAGAGGCAAGCCAACAAGCCAAACTGGGACCCGGCAGGGCCCACCTGTGGGGATGGGGGAAGTCAGAGCTGGACCCTACGTATGTCACCCCAGATATGTCCCCACGTCCCCAGGGACCGTCTCCTCCCCTTGCAAAACGCATTTGGCTCCTGCAACTCTCCGAGGGATGCACTCCCCCAGTGCAGGGCTCAGCGCTGGGAGCCCTGGCATGGAAGGAAGAGTTGGGCAGCACACCGGCACTGTTTGGGCAGAGTCGGTGCTCTCGGTGACTCAGCAGCCAGGCAGCATCACCCCCTCCCAGGCTACAGTCCCCCCACCCTCTCACCGCCCTGACGCACCCCCGGGGGGATTAGGGTGCTCGGTGTGATCTCATTTAAAGCCTGGCAGGGTTTCGCTGCCAGCAGATTAGCCATCTGCCCGCCGGGGACCCCGCACGCACCCTGACACGTGGCGACGCGTGACCCACACGCAGCATGTGCGAACCCCACACGTGGGGCAGAGACACCACCCCCACCACCACCACCTCCCACCCTCCCGCAGCAAAACCTGCCGGGGGCTGAGAGCTCCGCACCAACGGCTGCAGCCCCCTCCCCAAACCTCTTCTGGGACAGGGAAGGGGGTCCTTTGGTCCCTGGGGAGCCGACTGGGCTGGGGGTGATGTGGGCAGAGTTCCTCCCGGCCCTCACCTCTGCCCTGTACGGCAGGAAGATGGCACTGGCCAGATTGCCCGTGATGCCGCTGAGGATAAAAATGATGGAGATGCGATGCCAGCCCGCCAGCTTCTCCAGATCCCTCAGCACCGTCATCTGGAAAGTCACCGACACCAGGCAGTGGATGACGCTGGGGGAAGAGACCCTGCGTTAGAGACCCCTGCCCTGCCAGAGCCCCTGCCCAGCCCTCCCACCCACTGCCGTGGGGCACGAGACACCCTCCACCGATGGCACGTGTCGCTGTAGTCTGGGGGTGTCCTCCCTTCTTCTCTCCCAACCCGTTGGGCATCACAGACCATCCCCAATGGATACTCCAGCCCCGAGTCACCCCCCATCCCCTGGGGCCACGGCTCACCCGGCGTGCAGGAACAGGGATAGCCACAGGCGGTAGAACTGGTCGGGGACCTCCGGGTTGAGGAAGGGCAGGAGGCCGCAGACCTCGTCCAGGCAGTGCACCTGCAAAGGCAGGAGGGGTTGGGGGGATGATGGGGGCTCAGCCCACACCCCAGAGCCACGGGGAGCAAAGGATGGATCACGGGAATGTACGGTTGATGATGCCACACGTCAGTTGGGGGCGGGGACACTCTGGGTGGTGTGGGACACCTGCGCTACCCAGGTGCTGGGGAGGGAGCAACCAAGCATCCCCAGTGGCCCAGGAGATGCTGAAGGGCCGTTCTCCCACCTGGGATGTGCCTTTCCCGAGGACACCGGTGCTGCCTGGGTGAGGTTGGCTCAAGTCCTACGTCTCCTCCTGCCCCACGCCGGCCAGGCAGGCACGCAGCAGGAGTCCAGCCGATAGCTGGGCAAGTCCCCGCACCTCGCACTGCCCCTGCTCACACCCATCCCAACCGCATCCCAGGATACCATAAAACCCTTCGGTATCAGCATGGCAACGCGTGACCCGGCTGCCAACATCGCATCCCGCATCCCTGCTCACCTGCGAGCAGAGCGTTGCCTCCTCGTGGAAGTAGCCGTGCATGAACTCGCAGTACTCCCGCGTCGTGATCTCGCAGCTGGGCAGAGGGCAGGACGCGGGCTCGCTCGGGGCAGGGCTCGCTCCCCATCCCCATCAGCACCCCCCCTCCGCTCCTGGCAGCC